ATGCCATACAGTCTAGAAGGAGGTGAACTTATGCCAGTTTGCATGGTGTCACATCTGTTTATATATTTCGGAACATTTCACTTCATATGTAGTACAGCATACTTATGATGCAGGGTTGAAATCTTTTTTTCTTCAAAAACCTACTTATGAACACAAATTAATTTCCCATTTCTGCTGTATGATTTGAATCTTTGAGGTTACACCTCTCATGATATGAAGGAGAAATAAGATGATAATTGCCCTGAGATGAAATTTCCACCAATATAAAATAAACATCAGAGGGTCTCTGGTGTATATAGGTGTGCAAAGAACATACAGTGAAGCCTCAGTTTTATGCTTTGTAAGGGACCGCCTGAAACAGTAACTAACTTTCTTCTTATAGTCAGCACTTAGGCTGTCACCTGATAGATTTCTGTAAGGAATGTTTTGTCTCTTCTTAATTCTGTTGATCCAACTGTTGGAGGCCAAAAGTTGACTATTACCAGGCGAGCAGAGATGTGTGAGCCTTTCTTCTTAAGGTGGGTGTCGTCTATGTGAGTATCACTCTCATGTGTTTGCTTGAATGATGCAGCAAGTGCAGATTCCAGTTCCTCCAGTGGCAAACATTTCAGTGACTTACACTGTTTGGAGAAAGGTTCACGTTGGATGGAACTTCTTTCGTTTCCTCTGTGATTCTTCATAATATGATTTAGTGTGGGCACTGAAAGTTTCAATTGAGATTCCTGTTGAACATGTGTTGCAATGTGTGCATCAGCTTACACTACAATAGTTATTTTATCACTTACTGTAAGTGATTTAGGTTTTCCTTTATTTTCTTAATTTCATCCTCTTGCTGTGAAATTCATCTTAATTTATAACACAGTTTTATATGAAGTCACATGGGCACAGGAAAATTAAATATTTGAACCTGAATGCATTTTTGTTAAATATTTTGCTTATGAAAACTCAGTGGTTGCTGTGCTACAATGGTCATTTATTGGCAAACCTGTCAAATGTGGGAGACACAATATACACTCGCTGAGCTGCTGTTATAATGAGATGTATCCAGTTCAAAACTGGCTTAGCATGTGTGATCAGTTTGGATTATGGTGGCAGAAGATACCCCTCACGGACACTTTGTCCCATAGTGAAGTCACACGACACATACATGAGTCTCTTGCAGCTGTGCATCAGCCAGTTGATACGTATTTCAGTGACAGTTTGCGACTGTTAACGTGGAAGGAGGTTCGTTGTCTCAGATAATAAATTGTGAGAATTGAACTACAGAATGTAAAGTCAGGTAAATATTTAAAACCAGGACTAGAAAAATGAAGTGCAAATTCAGGGAAAATATAAAGTTGCAGACACAAAAGTCAATTCAAATTTAAAAATGTGCATAAAATGACAAAAAATATAAAATTGGGGATCACAAAATCAAAGTTTCACTGTATTTGGAAAATATATGGACTTAAATTTGGAGTACACATTTCTGTTACTTGTATGGTAACATGGATACACAAGTCATTAACAGCATGTTATCTGTGGATTGAAGAATTTCAGAAACCTTCAGCAAGAATACATGTTGTTATGCATCTGAAACTTTGTTGTTAATAATGGGGCATCCCAGTAAATCACTTGCAGATATCTAAGTAATGTTATATAGTTACAGTATAGTTTGAAAAGGGGATATTATTGAGATACTACAGAAACCCCTGGGGAATCAAAGAGTACCCCAGTACAGTGCAGAATGCTGGATAACCATATCAATGCAGTCTGTAACTGAATTAAAATCTTGATCATCGCTAAATCTCAAAACCTTTTCCTGGGATAGCTTGTATCTTTATTTACATTTGTAATAAAATTTATGAGCCTTCTGTTAATGAATATCAGTCACATTTTTGGTGTCACTCAGCTCCTTATTGCAGAAAGAGTTGAAGGAAGTTGATACAGTGGAGGAAGAAGAAAATACAGAAGAAGATTTAATGGTGGAGGATGGGTGAGTATACTTACACTGGACACTGATAATAAGGAAGTGTGGATGGGGAGAAAAGTATGTATGTGCAAATAAGATCAGAGGGGTGGGTTGACTAGCCAGATAGCTAACCTGATCAAAAAAAGTCTGCGCCAGCAGAGGCTAGCCACTTTCTTACAGCTGCAATGACAGCATTATTGTCTGGAAAATGTTGCCCACGTAGTCCGTCTTTCATAGGCCCAAAGAGATGGAAGTCTGAAGGTGCTAAATCGGGGCTATAAGGTGGATGTTGGAAGGACAGTCCAGCCAAACTTTGGAATGTGCGCGGTGGTCGCCAAACTGGTATGGGGTCTAGCGTTATCGTGTTGCAAGCGAAAGGTTGTCTCCTCCTCTGGCCTGACTCAGGAAATATGGGCTTTCAGCTTAGCGTCGTCTTGTAGCGTTCAGAATTGACAGACTCACCAGGCTCCAGGAAATCCAAAGAAATCACACCCCGCCTATCCCAAAAGATCGTGCACATCATGTTCCCCACTGATGGCTGTGTCTTGAATTTCTTTTTTCTTGGGGAATCCGGATGTCGCCACTCCATGGACTGTCTTTTGGATTCCGGCTTGTAGTGGTGACACCATGTCTCATCTCCGGTGACAATGCTGTCCAGAAACTTGTCACCTTCAGCTTCAAACTGGTGCAACAGGTCCTGACAGACTTCCATTCAGTGAGTTTTATGGTCCTGTGTAAGCATCCGTGGGACCCACCTGGAACAAACTTTGCGATAATCCAGCTTCCCCAACATCGTTTCCAATGCATTACAGCCGATATTAAGCCGTGCACACAGTTCCCTGGTTGTTATCCGCCGATCTGAAAGGATGAGCTGATCGAGGCGCTGTTCATTGTGTGCAGTAGCGGCTGAACAAGGACGCCCAGGGCGTGGCTTGTCATGCACTTCACTTTCACCACTGTTGAAACGCACTACCCACTGCCTCACTGTGCTGATATCAACTGTATCGTCCCCGTACCCCTTTAGCAAGCGTTGATGGATGTTAATGGCTGCAATTTGTTTGGCAGTGAGAAATTCAATAACACATCTCTGTTTCGTACCCACTTCTATGTCAGATGCCATTTTGGTAGACTGCTCTGCTATTGCTGTCTGTCGCACGACAACCAAATTAACAGTACATTGTCTGGAAGATTCAACCTTTACTACACTACCACCAACATCCAGCTCACATGTTACATATTAACACAAAAAAATAGGAGGCATTATATATGGAACGCACCATGTAGAATGTAAGTACCATAAAATAACTAAGGTTTCCTTATAAGTCAGCAAGGAATTGGTCTAGAAAAAAATTAGGTGAAGTATATTGTAATGTGGATGGCACAGTAGGTAGTAGGGGTCACGTGATCTCTGCGTTTCCACGAGTAACATCAAGTACCCCTACTCCTCCCATCATTACACAACGCTCAGTAAACACCCCTCCCCGCTAGGCTGTGACATCATGCAACAGGCAAGTCCATGCAGCGACTATTGCTAGGCAGTGCATAGGTAGAAACACTTGACAACAGTACCTGATATATGTTGCCGAGCAGCAAGGTGTTCTCTATGTTGTCCGTGCCAAGCCAAAATGAGCAGCAGCGAACACTATTCAGGAGGATTGAGTATTGAACCAGTTACTAGAGAGAGTTATTATTCAGTATGAGTTGAAGTCCAGCAGCTACAAGTTGAGTTGTATCGAGTGAATGGCAGTGACTCCAGCAGGAGAAGTAATTGTGTTACTGCAGATTGCAGTAATTGGGAAATTGTGAATTTTAAGAGCAAATGTGAAAAAATTCGCTAGGATCCAAGACGGCATGAAGTTATTTGTCACGTGACATACCTAACATGTGACAATATGTTAACATTTCATGTAATAAAATCAATAAGAATACAATATAACATGGTAGGAGAATGTCAGTTAATTTTTTGAGCTTTACCTTCACTTCCCATATGGCATAGTGCTTATCTAATTAAGCACAGAGACAGCTCTACCTTTACTTTGCCTATACAGCTCTGAGGCAGAGCCACCTGCTGTCATGCTGGTTTCTTGCTTGGCTTATTCTTCAACCCTGAAGATGGAGATGTTTCTGAAACATTGGTTGACATTCAGCAGACTACATGGCACCTGAGGATATTAGGTGGATATAGGAGACTCAGGATCTGATCAGTACCAGGTGTTCAGAATAATGGTATGAACCTTCAGTTGTACTGCCATAGTGTTAGTTAATACAACAGTGTATTTATTATTACTCATATTTGACAGTTTGAGCAGTGACATATTTTAGTACATATTGTAAATTAAGATCCCTGGTTCTCTACTTCAAGAAGCCATTTTTGATAGTAGAATCATCTGGATACAGGTCTGCAAAATGATGGATCAGTTCTGCAGAAAATATCGCCGCTTGTTTCTCAAAGCTGGTCGCAGGTTGTGTTCCCAAAATGAACAGTAATACTGCGCATTGACGGTCTGCTGTCGGGGAATGGTATGTGTTAGGATAACACCATCACAGTCATACACTAGAATCACCATAACATTTACACTGCTGGGGTTCTGGCGAACTTTTGATTTTTGTAGTGGTTCCACCTTGCCACTGTTCTATAAGGCAATGCAGATTGCATTAACTGAAAATTGGCCTTCTGTTCACTTATCAAGATTGAAGGTATCTGTATCAGAGTTCAGTGTTGCCTCAGTGTGTTTTTGAATGTTCTGTATGTTTTTGTTCATTTAAGAATATGAGTAGTGTAAGTTTACTAACGGGTTTTTAATGCTGTATCATTGTCATCCATAAGAAATTCTGCAGTGCTTTGTCACTTAGCATGCATGCCTTTATTTTGAAGGGGTAGCTATCTTTACCTAAATGTCCTTCATTCCATCAGAATCTTACACTGTAATCCTTCAAGATGTAGCTATCATGTATTAGTAGTACATCCTCTAAAAAGTATTTTGAAGAGATAGCTTAGCTATGACAGTAGCATTGGGTTTTTACGGTGTTGTTAACACCAGCCTAGGTGACAAGTGACAAATTTTGAAATGTAGCATGGTAGATAATTGCCCTGTGACCTATCAGGAGTGCATAGCGCAAATGGAAATATTGTCATGATTCTGAATAGTTTAAGATACTCTTCTATGCAAAATGAAAATATTCATCTTCCATAGAGTTAGGAGAGCAAACACATAATAGCTGTGATTTCTTGTGTCTTTAGTATAAGAATGTCTTGTAAACACAGCTATTCATATTACTTTTCAGCTGACCCCATGTACAGGGGGCTACCCAAAAGAAACCAAACTTATTTATTCAAATTTTAAGCACAAACCTTCAATCCCCTTCAAAGTACTCTCCACTTACACTAATACACTTGTCTAGTCTTTTATTCCATTTTTCAAAACATTGTCTAAATTCATCTTTTGAGATGCTTGACAGCGCCTCTGTCGTTTTCTCCTTTCATGTCTCTTTTCATTCGAGGAAACAAAAAAAAATCGCACAGGCCAAGGTCAGGTGAGTATGGAGGGTGAGGAACAGGGGTCAGACCATTTTTCGTCAAGCATTGTCGTACAGACAGGGCTGTGTGAGCAGGGGCATTGTCATTGTAGTGCCTCAAATTTGAGATTGGAAATTTAAGCCATTACCTAAATGTTCGAGACTTGCGAAAAGTGTTTACAGCCATTGCATTAGTATGACAACACCTGGACAGGCAACCAAGTTAAGAATGTTGATGATCAGCATTTATGCGTAATCGCATTAGCAAGAAGCTTGCCTCACTCGGCCACTGGAGTATAATGATATTATTAATTACGCAATGATGAGAAGCCATGGGCCCTCCCACAACCACCGATAAAAACCAATTGGAATATAACTTTGGGAATTGAGGACACTAGGGAGGAGTTAACTACCCTCTGTCGTCAACAGCTGAATTAGCAAATCGAAACTATAAATTACTGAATTTAGGAGACTTGTGATCTGATCTAACACAGAATATTCACTTGTCAGCCAGAGGCTCTCTTCAACATGGGCCTTACGAGCAGAGGCAGTGGGCCTGCATCTTGTACTACAAGTAAATTTCTTTACACATATCAGCCATGTTGTTTAATAGTATTGTTCATAAAAGTGTTGTTGAGTGATTTCAATGTGCAAACTCCAGTGTGCCCGGCGAGCCCTTAGGGGAGAATAATTAGGTAACATATAATTGCCTAGGAGTCAGGCAATAAGGGTTTTATGGTGTATGTGTCAAGGATATGGTTAGCGTATAGTGATAAATATAGTATGTGGATTTCAGTATGTATAATTAAGGGTAGATTACGTTAAGAGTGAAACTTTACGAAGGATAGTGTAATCGTATCTAATGGATAGTAGGGAAACAGGATCACAGGGAACGATTAATACTTGCCTATAGTCAGGAGTCGAAGAGAGAGAGACTCCGGTGTTACATCCCCGAAGGGGAGGTTCCTAGCGTAGCTGCAAGTCAATTCACTATGTAGTCCCGACGGAAAGTCGGCCTTGTAATAATGTAAATCATGTAAATATAAGAGTGTAAATAGACAGAGAGATAGGATAGGATGTACCGGGATTGTGATTTACACCTCTATAATCAACTTTCCCACGACCGATCCCGAGCAATCCTGACCAAAGCGAGGGCTGAACTGACACAGGCAGCAGTAGCAGCCGAAGGCAAGGAAAGACAAACAGGGACCGAGAGGTTGCGGTATCACCCGATAGGAGGCTACCTGTAGACGATATGAGGAGTTGTCAAGAGGGAGCTATGACTATATGTTAGGGGGTAGTTCTCACAATAGAGAGGACAAATGGTGGCAGCTTTTAACAGAGAAGGGAGCCCCGAAACCGGAGAATCCTAGCTGAGGGTAAGCTAGGATTATGGTGTTAACTCCTTACAGCGTAAGCTGTGGTAGCAAGGAGGTGCACCTCCACGCCCCCCTGCACCACGGCGTTACAAGTGGCGGCAGCGGTGAGATAACCAATCCACCCCCGTC